AGCCCCCTGGAATAAGGGGTGCAGGTGGGAGGTCCAGCAGGCGTGGCCCCGTGGCTGGAGATCGCCAGACCCTCTCCTCCCCGACTGTACGCCCACCTCTCCCAGCTCCAGTCATCAGCGTCCCTTCCGCGACAGCCCCCACCTCTCTCAGCCACGGCCCCAGTGTCCTCATCTGAGGCTCCAGCCTGACTGCCGCCGCCAGCATCTGATGGGACTCTGATTCATTATTTATTTCCTCAGACTGTGCCTTTCCCCCGAGCCCTGCAAGCAGTGCTGACTGCAGGAGGAAAGTGAATGAACAGTTCCCGGGCACGTCCAGTGGAACCTCAGGCAGCTGGGCAGTGCCTCCTAGTGGACCCCATTCACAGATGAGAGAAACTGAGGCTCTGGGAGGTCCGCTGGCTTTCCCAGCCAGGGTCGCAGAGCTGGGAGCTGCCCCCAGGAATGCTGACTCTGGAGCCTGGTGGAACAACAGAGGGATTCAGGCCGCCAGCCAGTGTGGTTGGAACGTGTCCTCTTCATATTATAAGGCATCAAAAGCCATGAGTAAAATGTCAAGGGAACACACACACCCCTTCTTCTCAAGGTAGACGAGCTGACTTCATTCTCCCCACAGTGGAAGGGCGGGCAGCTGGGGGAGACACAGGGAGGAGGCGTCAGCCTGAAAACAGAGGGGCATTATGGAAGGCTTCTGATGGAAGCAAAGGAACGTGCGTCTCCCAGACCCACTGGGGCCACTGTACTGAACTGCCCTCGTCGCCGTTCCTGGAGCTTGGCCTGCTGACCGGAGCGGGCTCGCATGTGCCGGCCAGGGTGGCCGCTCCCAGCTCAGCAGCCCCCCTCCCCCCTCCCCACCCCACCCCCGAGGTTGCTCCCCGGCCTCCAAGGTGGGAGATGCAGGAGGCCAAGGGAACAGGCAGTCAAGGGTGTGTGTGTGACACGGGCGAGCCCACAGGAGTCCTGTTTGTAAAAGTTAGGAAACTGAGGCTCAGGGAGCGATGGGGACGGCCTCCAACATCCTGAGTCTGGCCCACCAGCCCCTGGCCCAGGCCCCGAACTGTGAGTCCTCTTGTCCCCTGCCTGGGGTCCTCCTCCTCCTCTCCGGGGACATTTGTTCATTCATCCCCTCACGCCTTCTCTGCTCTTTCTCACTCCCTCCCTCCTTCACTCATGGACATGTCCTGAGCCTCTGCAGCTCCGGCTCTCCAGCTGTCTTCTCTGCCTGGGCGTTCAGGACAGCAAGCTTTAAGCCGTGGGGTTGGGGTAGGGCGTGGGGAGTTAAGGGGCGCTCCTTGCCTGGCCAAGCCTGGAAACAACCTCTGTATTCTGCGGTGCTTTGCCCCTACGCGTGTTCTTCATGATGTATGCTTCTTGCAAACCTGTTTGGGCCTCAACTACTCCATCTGTAGATTGGGCCTTCAGAGGGCTTGGGACCAGAGTGACTCTAAAAAACCTGCTTGCAGTGCCTGGGACACCCTCACTGCCCTGTCCTTCCATAAATTGCCTTGTCCTCTGCTTAAAGAACCAGGTAGAGAATGGAAATTTAGCCCCAAAGGCCTACTTTGGGGAATGAGTGGTATTTTATATGTTGTTCTTCTTAGACTGGGTCTCAGGCTTAGAAAAATCTCAGATCATAGCAGCAAGATTGGAGCCTTCCAGTCAACTGGAAAGTGAGATGAGGTCCCATTTACTGAGCACCTACTACGTGCTAGGCACTCCAGAGGCATTGCCTACAATACAACCATTGGCAAAGTAGGAATGGTTTGCCCATTTTGCAGACCAAAAAACGGGCCTGGGAAGGCTCTCTCATGCCCAGAGTTAAAGTGTGACAGCCATGGAACCACCTGGCTTCCCGAGGCCAAGCTCTTCCCGCTGCCGTAATCAGGAAGGCCGCCGCAGGCTCCTCAGTCCTCATCCCCCCATCTTGGCCGTGTACAGTGAGGAGGTTCACGCCTCCGACTCCACACTCACAGAGGCTGGTTCTCCTGGCTCTGCAGAGCAGCAGGCAGGGGAATCAAGTGTTGTGGACATGATTTGCTTCATTTTCCTTTGTATTCATCTTGGGCCTGTCCCTGCTCCCGGGTCAGGGAGATGCCAAGTCACCATCCTCCCTTCCATGAGGCCTTTATCTCGAGAGCTGGATCAGCCTGCTCATGTGTGGTTGGTCATTTCCCCCCATCAGCCAGGTCTGCTGAAGCTGTCATCTTGCCACAGCAAGTGAGGGCCCGAGTTGGAAGGCAGGCAGACCATCTGGTGCAGCCTCAGAGCTGCATTTGCATTTCAGATGTAGAAACCTCCTGGGATGAGAGCCATGGACACGACGGACCACCCTCTAGGACGAGTCCAGACGTGGCAGGCCCCTGGTGCTGGGGGTTTCTGTGGCCACCATCTGTTGAAATCCAGGGAGCCCTTCAGCCTGGGAGCACCCCAAGACCCTCTCCTCACGACCCCTGCTTCACCTCACACCAGTCATCCCCTGTGGATGTGAGGAGGTGGGGTGCTCGGGCAGGCCAAAGTAGAATTAGGAAAGCAGGGGGCCGTGGCCACATCAGGCAGGATGCTAGATTTCTCTCAGCTCTTGAGGACCGCCCCCTTGAAGATGCCACCGTCCCCTCAGTTGGCTGGTGACCAGCCCCTGGATAGACACCGGGTGGTGGGGACACGGGGCTGCAGCGTCCGTGGATGCCCACAGAGCCTGCCGAGCTCCCAGGGCCTCAGTTTCCCCACAGCTCTGCGTCTTCTCCCGTGCCTCAGTGCACGTGTTGTCTCCCGCTCTGGGCCAGCCCCGTGAAAGGAGCTCAGTCTGGGTGCCAGGTGTATGTGAATCATCACACACACAGGCTCCAGAGCGTGCAGATGAATATAGATATGTGTGTGGGGTTAGTTTTTATTTTTTTATTATTTGCTCCATTGCACTTAAGTCACATTTTCCTATCCTCTGATCCAAGCTCTAAAAGCTTTTTGTGGTATAAAATTGCCCATCATCTGATCCACTCTACCGAAATAACCCAGCTTCCCTGCCGTCATCTCCCTTGAAAAGGGGCCCTGCGTCATTCTCTGAGGCGGGCGGGGAGAGGCCTTGCCCGCTGAAAACACTTCATAATAATCCCCCCAGTGCTCCCATCCTCCTCTCTCCCTGGGGGGCTGCTCCGGTTTCTGGGGCTGTTATTACTGGAATGCCAGCTGCTTGCTTACAGCCCATCCATACAGACCCACTGTGTTTGTCTGGGCCTCACAGGCCTCCACTTAGCTCATCTGGTGGAAATATAATTTCAAAAATAAATGCTGGTGCGATGCACTCTTCCCTCTCGCCTCCGCTCTGTCTCCTGGCCTCGTCCACGTGGCACCGCAGGACCCAGGGAGGTGCTGCTGTCTCCCAGAATCCTCCAGTGCTCAGCGTCAGGGGCCGGCAGGGCAGCCCAGCGCGGCTTCTTCTGAGTCCCGTGGTCATTTCCCTGCTCCTTAAATGTGGCCTGGGGGGAAAAGAGAGAGCTCGGGGGGCAGACAGACTCGGCGCTGCCGTACCCTTGCTGTGTGACCTTGGACAAACTCTTTCCCTCTCTGGACCCCATGGGTACATGAGCGAAGAGGTGTCTCCCTCCAGGGCATATGGCATGGTGGGTAACACTGCTTTTTATGAATGATTTAAGTATGTCTTTCCTAAAGGAGATCAGTCCTGGGTGTTCATTGGAAGGACTGATGTTGAAGCTGAAACTCCAATACTTTGGCCACCTCATGTGAAGAGTTGACTCATTGGAAAAGACCATGATGCTGGGAGGGATTGGGGTCAGGAGGAGAAGGGGACGACGGAGGATGAGATGGCTGGATGGCATCACCGACTCGATGGACATGGGCTTGGGTAAACTCTGGGACTTGGTGATGGACAGGGAGGCCTGGCGTGCTGCGATTGATGGGGTCGCAAAGAGTCGGACACGACTGAGCGACTGAACTGAACTGAACTGAACCAAGTATGTCTTTAGGGAAGAAGTACATTTAAAGGTTCCTTACCGATCGTTTAGGCACTTGGGTTTCTTTGCTAGCCCCAGAAAGCACTCACAGGTAGACCAGAACACTTGAGGAGAATGCGGCGTTATGTTGCTGTGTCACGAGTAGGAGTCCTGTCAAGCTCAGGGCAAAGTGAGTAACTTGGTGAGGTGGGCTCTCCATACCTGGGGAGCGGCCAAGGGCCATGTTGAGAGTTTTGAACTCCAGTTTGACTCAGATGGTAAAGAATCTGCCTGCAATGCAGGAGGCCGGGGTTCAAGCCCTGGGTCGGGGAGATCCCCTGGAAGAGGGCATGGCAGCCCACTCCAGTATTGTTGCCTGGAGAATCCCATGGACAGAGGAGCCTGGCGGGCTACAGTCCACGGGGTTGTTACAAAAGGAGTTGGACACGACCAAGCGACTAACACTCTGACTTTTACTTTTCAACCACTAAATGCTGTGGCATTGGGTGAGTGAGTGAGTGGCCCTGTGCCTCAGTTTCCATGCCTGCACAGTAGTGGTAAGAATAGTGCTTCCTTCCTAGAGTTGTCTGGGGATGCAGTGAGGTGGAACACATCAGCATTTCAGGCCATGCCTGGCACAGAAAGGTATTGTGTAAGTGCTGTCTGCTTTGTTGTGAATTGAGGAAGTACAGACATACAGGTGACTTTCATGACCATCCCCTTATGACAGCAGGGTTTTTTTAAATTATTTATTTGGCTGCTCTGGGTTTTAGTTGCTGCATGTGGGGTCTAGTTCCCTGACCAGGGATCGAACCCCCTGCATTGCAAGGAAGGCGGATTCTTAACCACTGGACTGCCAGGGAAGTCCAATGATTATTTTTATTATTGTTTTTGTTTGAGCCCTGGGTGTGTTCCACATTCCGCTGGTTACCATGGGGTGGTCATGACGGGTCAGAGCGTCAGTACTTGCTGAGCTCATCATCTTGTGATTTAGGGAGGTCTGGCCTGTTGCTCCCTTTCCCACTGACCTCTGACCATTCCCCCCACTTTCAGATCTGTGCCATCATTGGCGGGACCTTCACTGTGGCTGGCATTCTGGACTCGTGTATCTTCACAGCCTCGGAAGCCTGGAAGAAGATCCAGCTGGGCAAGATGCATTGATGACCTGCCCGGCCCCACGGCCAAGGACCCAGGAGACCAGCAGCCCTGCCTCCAGCACCCCGTCTCCTCCTACCCTCTGTCTGGCTCAAGATCTGGCTGTGTCCCAAAGTGGGGGTGAGGGGAGGGAGGGGGTGGCTCCTGGGTTCGACGCTACCTCTTTTCTCCAAGTTTAATTTTAGATAAATTACACTGCCTGAAGTTGGGGCACCCCTTTATTTCCCTGAGGAGCCCCAAGACCAGAGACAGGGCCAGGACAGCTTGGGGATGCACTCAAGAGCTGCAGTCCCCTCCCTGTTGGGGGGAAAGCCCAGAATCCATGCTGACCAGCTCGCAGCCAGGCTTTGACAATCTCGCAGCCCCCACTGTTTGGTCCCACTGGTCACTTGGGTTCTCTCCTGGGCAGGCAGCCTGCAGACCTGGGCTCCAGATTCTGGACCAGGCTGCCCAAAGGCACCTGCCACCTGGCTCCCTCAACAAAGTACGGTACTTCCCGGGCAGGCCCCTGAAACGTGGCGCCCTAGATGGAGCCCTCGCCTCTGCTCCATCCCTTCCTGCCTGACCTCGAGCCCAGGCCTCAAGGCCCTCTCTCCCACGCCTTTCTTTTCCTCCCCAGAAGCAGATGCCCAGTGGCAGGGCAGCAGCCTGCGTAGACTCAAGTCTGCCCACTGGTCACTGGGCGCTTGGCAACTTCGCCTTCCTCTCTCCATCTCGTTCCTCTGCACCCCCTGCCAGTGTGCCTCAGCCCGCATGCTGTGTGGCCCAACATGGCTTGGTGGAGGGGCAGGCTGTGACTGGGAAGTCATCCTTTGAGGACTAGACATGGTTTGTGCATCAATGTCCAGATGGGAAGCATCATTTTCTGCGACCCTAAAGTAATCATGTCTTGGCCTCTCCCAGATGGCTGCCAGCAGTCCCAAAGCCTTAGGTGGGAGAAGCCAAGCGCACCAGCCCATCTCCCATCTGAGCACGTCCACCTTGGGCCCCCAAGGGCGCACAGTGCTTGGACCTCTCTGAACCCAGCTGTGGCCCGCCTGCCCCACCGAGCTCCCCACTGGCTGGCCACACAGCAGCTCAGTCCTGGCTCCTGGGGCGGCTCCGCTGTTTCCTCACTGGCTCCTGGGTGGGTCCCCACCCCACTGCTCCCCCTTCTCCTTCCCCTTTAGTCCTGAAAGGGAGGGGCTATGGTCCAGGCACAAATTCCACCCAGGGAATTTTAGGTGTGCCCCTCTGTCCCAGTGAGAGAGCCGCCCACTGTTTTCCATGTATATCAAGATTGTTTGCATACTTTTGTAATTAAGGGGAGTGTCCAGTAGAAGGCATTTTAAAATTATCTCTATGGATGGTTCAAGTCTCTGCCTTTTGTGATTTTTGGCTCTAGATTCCAATTAGAGAAGCTTCCCTTTGCATTTGAGTTGATGGATGTAAGTGTAAACTGTATTTGGTTATTTCTGGGATCTGTGGCCACTCAGATGGATTTTTTTTTTTTTTTTTTTTTGCATTCTCTTCCCCCGTTACAAAAGGAGTCCCTTGGGTGTGTGAATATGTGTGCCTGTACAGAGTGGGCAGGGCAGGCTGGGGAAGTGTGTGGCATGCACGTGAATTGAAATCCCACGTTGATGCATTTTAAAAAAAGATCCTTGAGGACATAGGGGATGTCAGTTTCCTATGGAAGAGACACCTCTGACTCATTCTTATAAGCAAAATCTCAAGGGGAAAAAATGTCTTAGTTCTTTCCCCACTCGTTGGGTTCAAATAGATTAAAAGGCTGATTTTCAGAAATATTGCTGTGTGTTACTTTTGACTTGCTTATGGTTGGGTAGCCTGGAGGCTGGGATCGTAGTCAGAATGGAGCTTCATCCTAGAGGAGAGAAGCTGGGAAATATGGGGAATATCTGTGAGCATGATCAGAAAGTCAGGAACCCTTGGATTCAGTCCTTCCTTTATTGAATCCCTACAGAATGGTCTGCAATCGGCTACTTTCTTTCCTCTTCTTTTTTTGAAAAATTTATTTTATTGAGGTATTTGAGCTTGATTTACTGCGCTGTGTTAACCTGATCTGCTTACTTTCCAGTTGCCCAGCCTCAGTTCAGGTCCTTAACCTCAAGGCACTATTGCAGCATACAGTTTGTGCAAATAAATTATACTGGATCAGAACAAGCTTATGTATGCAGGGAGTGATACGTGGTAAATTTTCAAAAACAGTGCTTGTTCCACGTAGGTATTCCCAGATCAAGTAAGGGAGACCCCTCACCACCTGTAAAAAAGGGACTTCCATGGACATTTGCCCTTCCGCTGCCCGGCGCTTCAGAGCCTTCTCTGCACGGACATGGGTTAACATACCAGAGGTGAATGTGAGAGCGCACCCGTCGGTGAGAAAGTCTTCACTGACCCTCTGTGTTCTCTCTCTAACATTCTGTGTGATATCTGAATTATTGTGATACTCAAAGCTCATGATCAGGAGTACATGCCCACCGGCCGTCAGAGGCGTGGGCTTCCCAGATGGCACTAGTGGTGAAGAATCCGCCTGCCAGTGCAGGGATCTCAAGAGACGCAGGTTCGATCCCTGGGCTGAGAAGATCCCCTGGACTAGGAAATGGCAACTCATTCCAGTATTCTTGCCTGAAAAATGCCACCGACAGAGGAGCCTGGCGGGCTTTAGTCCATGGCTGCAAAGAGGCAGACACGACCGAGTGCACACACACGGAGATGTGTTCCCAGACCTGTTCGTGCCGCTGCGCCTTGTGCTGTCGTGATGTGACTTCGTTAACCAGATTTAATTTCTGCAACAGTGCCTTGAGGTTAAGGACCTCAGTTAACCAGTGAAATATGATCGAAAAAAGGAAGGATCTAGGAAAACTAAGCTGAATACTTTGGAGAGGCCTGGTTAAGGTGAAAGGCCACCCCCTCCTCAAAATGCTGCTGAACGCAGGGAATACCCTGGGGGTCCAGTGTTAGGACTCCATGCTCCTACTGCAGGGGTCATGCAATTACCCTCTCCCCCCGCCAAAAAAACCCCACCAAATTCATTGTGAAGAAGGTGACTGAAAAGGGTTGGGGGAGGACAGTCCTTGAGGATTCTGCATCCACATTGAAAATGTGTAAATTCTTATTCCATGGTAAAGAAAATGAAACCTGGAACCCTGGGATTGGTTTATGTAAGGACATGGTTTACAAAGGGAAGATAAAGGAGAACTCCAACAGAGGAAATGCAAAGTTCAATGAAAAGTTTTGCTCAGAGTCAAGAGATGGGCCCAATGTTTTTTTTTTGTTTGTTTTGTTTTTAGCTTTTTATTTTATATTGGGGCTTCCCTGGTGGCTCAGATGGTAAAGAATCTGCCTGCAGTGCAGGAGACCTGGGTTCGATCCCTGCATTGGGAAGATCCCCTGGAGAAGGAAATGGCAATCCACTCCAGTATTCTTGCCTGGGAATTCCCAAGGACAAAGGAGCCTCTTGGGCTGCAGTCCATGGGGTTGTGAAGAGTCGGACACAACTGAGCAACTAACACACGGCCAGTTAACAATCTTGTGATAGTTTCAGTGCACAGCAGAGGGACTCTGCCATACATACACACGTATCCATTCTCCCCCAGACTCCCCTCCCATCCAGGCTGCCTCAGTGTTGAGCAGGGTTCCCTGTGCTACGTAGTAATTCCTTGTTGGTTGTCCATTTTAAATATAGCAGTGTGTACATGTCATCCCAAACACCCTAACTGTCCCCTCAGTTCAGTTCAGTCGCTCAGTCGTGTCTAACTCTTTGTGACCCCATGAACTGCAGCACGCCAGGCCTCCCTGTCCATCACCAACTCCCGGAGTTTACCCAAACCCATGTCCGTTGAGTCGGTGATGCCATCCAACCATCTCATCTTCTGTCGTCCCCTTCTCCTGCCCTCAGTCTTTCCCAGCATCAGAGTCTTTTCCAATGAGTCAGCTCTTCGCATCGTGTGGCCAAAGTATTGCAGTTTCAGCTTCAACATCAGTCCTTCCAGTGAACACCCAGGACTGATCTCCTTTAGGATGGACTAGCTGGATCTCCTTGCAGTCCAAGGGACTCTCAAGAGTCTTCTCCAACTATCCCCTAGTGACCACAGATTCATTCTTTAAATCTGTGAGTCTGTTTCTGTTTTGTAAATAAGTTCATTTGTATCATTTCTTTTTAGATTCTGCATATAAGGGATATCATATGATATTTCTCGTTCTCTGACTTCACTCAGTATGACAGTCTCTGGTCCATCCATGGACATGTTGCTCCAAATGTCATTATTACATTCTTTGAGTAATATTCCATTGTGTATATGTACCACATCTTTTTCCATTCCTCTGTCAATGGACACTTAGGTTGCTACTGTGTTTTGGCTGCCGATGCATTTTATGTTGATGAGAAACCTTTAAGGTAAGTGTGTGTGTGTGTGTGTGTTCAAGCTGCTTGGCATGCTGGATCTTATTTCCACAACCAGGGATCAAACCCATTGCCCTTTGCAGTGGAAGCATGGAGTCTTCACCACTGAACTGCCAGGGAAGTGCCTGGTATCATTTTTATGATTTCTGAACCAGTTCTTTCGGTTACCTAACCAAGTGCAGACTATAGTGTTTTCATGGGAGAGGATTTCTCAATCAGGGCTTATGATACAAACCCAGAGTGGGCTAGGTGATGGGTTGGGGGCTGTGGTGGTTCCGGCAGAAATCGATTCTCCTGGGGAGGTGATGCAGCTGCAGAGGAGGCCAAGTCGCAGATGTGCTTCAGTGAGGCGCTCACCTGAGCTCACATGCTGAGCTCACGCTGCTTGGGGGCGGAGTGGAGCCGGGAAGCTTGGGGAGAAGTAGGCTGTTGCCGTGGGGCTTAGAAGTGGCAGCTGTGTAGTTAGGTTTTATAGCTAAACGTCACAAGCTTGTTTTGGGTTCTTGCCCAAGACAAATGGCAGGCCACTGGCAAGCCTGATCCCTTCTTAGGAAGCTGGTTCCTTAGCCGCTCCTGCAGACAGAAGCCAGTGTGACGGGCCTGTGTGGAGAACACTCACCCCAGATGCTCCCCTGCCCCGCCCCTCCCAGCAGTTGTCCTCTGTCAGTTCTGTGTGATGAGGTCATGCACTGTATTCTGACCAAAATGAGTAATTTTTATCTCAGCTCTTGTAGTAATAGCTACCAGTGGTTGGGCAAGGAGTGCTGGTTCAGGCCTGGTCTTTCTTAATCCTCACAGCAGTTCTACAAGGTGGCAGCTACCTCCTCCTTAAAGGAGAACCGAAACTTAGTAACTCATCTAGGTCACACAGTTAGCAGGTGGTGAAGCTGGAATTCAGACCCAGATTCGCACACCTCCAGGGTTATGTAGAATTGTACGGTTCTGCCTTACTACCCATAATCATCCCTGTCCAAAGAGTAAACTGCCTCCTCCCCCTAAATGGCCATCCACTCCAGTATTCTTGCCTGGAAAATCCCATGGACAGAGGAGCATGGTAGGCTACAGTCCATGGGGTCACAGAGAGTTGGACATGACTTTACTTTCAATTTCCCCCTAAAAAGAGGGGCTGGGATTGAAAGCAGTGAGGGCACTTTTGGGTTTCTCTTTTCTCCCTTTTAAACAGCCTGCAAAGGAAAGCTGAGTTGAACACTGGGGGACTTGATTTTTTTAAAAAATAGTTTGTATTAGAGCTGAGGTTTGTTTGTTTTTTTGGCAGCGGTGGGTCTCAGCTGTAGCACACTAGATCTTCAATCCTTTAGGTGCAGCATGCGGGGTCTAGTTCTCTGATCAAAAGTGGAATCCAGGCCTCCTGCGTTGGGAGCACGGAGTCTTAGCTACTGGATCACCAGGGAAATGCCATAGGGGGATCTTCTTCAGCAAAAATTTTAAACCCTTACAACATGATTTTAATTACACAAATAATACATGCTCATAGCCTCACTGGAGGAAAAGCAGAAAAGAGCAAAAAGGGGAAAAAAAGGAAATTAAAGTCACCCGTTATACCTGAAACTAACACAACACTGTAAATAAACTATAACCCAATAAATTTTTTAAAGATAAAGAGTAAATAAAAGTAGGATTAAAAATAAAGTCACCCATAATGCCACTAATCAGGGATCATTTTTAATACTTTTGTGATGTTCTTCCATAAACAGAATGGAACCATACTGTTAACATTATTTTGTAGTTTGCTCTTTTTCTCATGTAATAGACACCTTCCTATGTTAGTAACAATGGATATCCTCATCATCATATTGGCTGCAAGATAGCAATAATGATATTAGGTATCTGATAGTGAATCATGCTTCCATCTCATTCAGAACCTGTTTCCTCACTTGTAAAAGGTACACTTTAAAGGGTTGTTTACTAGATTAAATAAGGTAATGTTTATAAAGCACAATGTCTGACAGTAAGTGCTCAACATAATACAACAAGCTATAATAATTCACTCATTTAAGAAATAATAGTTCTTGGAATTTCCTGGCAGTCCAGTGGTTAAGACTCCACACTTTAACTGCTGAAGGCCTGATCCCTGGTCAGGGAACTACAATCCCATGAGCCGCATAAAGTGGCAAAAAAAAAAAAAAAAGCCCTAAAAATTAAGCAAATTATTTCTACCATGTATTAAGTGCTTACTTTGTGCCAGACATTGTGCTAAAGGTTCATAGACTTCTGACACCAGACTCATGAAGTGGGGACTCTTATTGTTCCCATTTGACAGATGAGGAAAGTGAGTGACCAAGAGGCTAAATATCTCACCCAAAGCTCCAGGGCCAGTAAGTGGTCGAGAGCCAAACCCAGGCAGTCAGAATCCAGGGCTCTCACACTTCTCCACCACATTACTCTCTGCCTCAGAGACACAAAAACGTTCCCCTGGCATTCCCTCTGAGCCCGGCACTATGCTAGATCCTAGGGCTTTACACCAGTCTCTGTGCGTGTTTTCGAGGTAGGCATGAGGCAGGATAGTCACCATCTATCTATTAAATCTATTAAATTCTATTAAATCCTATTAGAACAGCAGAACCTCAGTCTCTTGTCATTTTATCTGGTGATGTCCCTTAATTCTATTGAGCCACAGGAGGCAGAGGCTTCCCAGGTGGCGCTACTGGCCAATATAAGAGACATAAGAGATGCCAGTTTGATCCCTGGGGGGAGGAGATCCCCTGGAGGAGGAAATGGCAACCCACTTCAGTATTCTTGCCTGGGAAATCCCATGGACAGGGAGCCTGGTGGACTGCAGTCCATGGGGTTGAAAAGAGTCAGACATGACTGAAGCAGAGGGCAGAGGGTGGGGATAAGGAAATGGCCCCCCTCTGTGGCTGACAGTGAGTATATCTGGGTAATCTTGGGTTGTAATGATCTACCCTCACATGACTGCCCCTCACCGGTGAGGCCCTGCTCTCCTTGGGAGCAGGGACCAGATATCACTCCTCCCCATATCTCTTTGCTCTAGCCCTAAACCTGTGCCTCCATGTAGGTATCACATACATGGCAAATAAATTAATGAGCAAATGGATGCATGTGTGGGTAAATGAATGAATGTGATAGGGAAATAATGAATGAGCCAAGAAGGGGCCAGTGAGAAGTGAATGAATGAATGTATGAATGAACAACTTCTTGGGTGCTTAGGTCTGATGAACACTAAGGGCTACTCTGAAAACTATGACCGTCTATGTGCAGTCAGTCATATCGGCATTTGCTCCCGCCTTGCCCATAGGAAGTGACTTCCTTTTTACCCCCACCTTAATTGAGATATAATTGAACTATAACATTATGAAAGTTTAAGAGGTACTGTGTGTTAACTTGATATACCCACATATTGCATCATGATTACCACAGCATTAGTTAACACCTCCAACACCACACATAATTGTGTGTGTGTGTGTGTCTACCGGGAGTGGAAGGAGGAGCTCCAGCACGACCAGGCAGGGCGAGGTGGGCACAAGGTGGGCAGGGCTGGGTGGGCACAAGGTGAGTCGGGCAGGGCAGTGGCTCCAAACCCGCAGGGTCACTAGTTGGAAGAATCCTGGCTGTGTTAACCGAGGTTTTAAAGACTCAGGGAATTTAAAAAGGGAGAGCGAGCACAGCTTCAGTCGGCACGCGCACTGCACGTGTTTAGATCAAACACAGAAAGCTTACAGTCTGCGTCACTGGGAGTCAGTGGCACAAGTCTGATTCTGGTGTGGCCCGCCCTTAGGGCCATTGTGGAGCAAGGCCCACAGAGAGGCCTCTCCTCTCTCGGAATAATCTCTCTGCCTGCATGCTCAGCCCCGTCTCACTCTTCACAACCCCATGGACCGTAGCCCACCAGGCGACTCTGTCCATTGGATGCTCCAGGCAAAATACTGCAGTGGGTTGCCATTTCCTCCTCCAGGGGAATCTTCCTGACCCAGGGATCAAACCCATGTCTCCTGTGTCTCCTGCATTGGCAGGCAGATTATTTTACCACTGAGCTACCTGAGAAGCCCTTAGGAATAACAGCTTGTTGTAATTGAGTGCTATGTGCCAGACACTGTTCTGAACACATGAAACCAGATTAACACACTTAGTCTTCATAACAATTCAACTAGTCATCTACTTAAGATCATCCCCATTTCACAGATAAGGAAACAGGCTCGGAAACGGAGACATCCCCTAAGGTTCAGCAACTTGAAGAGCCACTTGAGACTGGGGGGAAGTTTTGCAAAAACAAATGGTTGGTTTGTAATGTCCCTCAAAGAGTGGGGCACCTCAAAGTCTTTTGTGAGGGGGAGTGCTTGCTCTGAATTCAGAGCCCCTGACCCCGATCTAATACTGTCTGATTTTGTAGGGCTGTGGTGAAACATGAAAATTTGCATTTTAAACAGACTTCTCAGTGCTTGTGAAGAAGCAAGTCAGCCAATTGCATTTAAAGCACCACAGTGTTTAACCACCCCAATCATATGCCTAAACAACCTGTGAGGAGGCTAACGGGGGCAAAGATTTTTGAGTAGGAAAGAGACTATTAATAATGTACCTTTAAAAAGAACAGGTGGCTTCCATGGTTGCTCAGCTATACAAAATCTGCCCCCGCAATGCGGAAGACCCAGGTTCGATCGCTGGGTCGGGAAGATCCCCTGGAGAAAGGCGTGGCAACACATTCCTGTGTTCTTGCCTGGAGAATCCCCACGGACAGAGGAGCCTCATGGGCTACAGTCCATGGGGTCACTAAGAGTAAGACACGACCGAGCGACAAAACACACATCAAGAGAACATCAACAAGGCCTTATTGCAAGCCCTACAAAATGCCCTTTCTCCCGGGCAGCACCAAGTCACCGGGTCCCGGGCCTGATCCCCGGCGCAGCCTGGCCACCCAGGGTCCCTGGAAACGAGCCACTGCGATCCCACCCCAAGCCTCAGGGGGCGCTATTCAGATTCGTTCTGATGGGAATGGAGCATTGTTTTCTTTCTGCGCTTCCGCAGCAAGGAAGCCTCACTTCCGTCCCTACGCGCGCACCGTCTGAGCTCGGCGGTGGCTCGGTAGGTGAGTGGAGCTGGTGAATTCTCCGGCTACGAAGCCCTCCGCTCCACTGGACTCAATCCTGCCTGCCCGGGGGTCTACCCGCCGCCCTAGCGATCTCTCTGCGTGACCCCCAAGCGTGCATACTTTTGCACTCTGAGCCCGCGTCCCTCAGCCTCAAGGCCCCCGGGCCGCCCCTCCCCACTCCCGTTTAGTTAAGCATGCGCCCTCCGCGCTCGTCCTGCTGTGTGTAACACCCGGACCTTTCATACCCTTCGCTTTCCTCCCTCAGTCTCCTGCCGAGGCCACCTCCCTAGAACCCCTGGGCGGGGATGTAGTGAAGTGTCCCGGATGGAGAGAAGGCCCTGGTACCCCACCAAGCATCCCTTCGCTCCCTCCTTTGCCTCTGTCTGCAGGCGAACACCATGAAGTTCAACCCCTTCGTGACCTCGGACCGGAGCAAAAACCGCAAACGTCACTTCAATGCCCCCTCCCACGTGCGCAGGAAAATCATGTCGTCTCCACTCTCCAAGGAGCTGCGACAGAAGTACAACGTCCGCTCCATGCCCATCCGCAAGGACGACGAGGTCCAGGTACTTGTCTCCCGGGCACCAGTTACCCACCTGCGTGGCGCTTGGGCGCCGCCTTTGCCGGAGAGTGTTAACAGTGCCTGGACGTGTGGAGGAGTCAGAGACTCACACGCCCTCAGGACCGGGGCAGAGGATGTGACCCTGCAGGTGACTGGAGTTGGGGCCCAGAGTCACCAGAGATCGCCTGCCCAGCTTAATTTAGAGCATTCCAAATCAATTCTTTAATAATAATAATTTGAGAAGTTTTGCTTTGCTTTCTTTAGTCCAGAGGTTGCTAGTTCCCAGACACTGCTCAGGGCAGATCTTTGCAGGAGAAGGTGTTGGAATAAGAGTAAGGTTTTGGCAACGTTAGGTTTAGTAGAAGCTGAACATTTGATGGTGCTGGATTTGGCAGGGAGAATGGTGAAGCAACAGCAAATCAGAGACGTGAAATTTTGAGAAAGTATAAGCTGTTCTCTGACTGGAGCTTAGAATGTGTAGTAGAGAAGGGGAAGTGAAGGTGAGTAAGATAGATTGGAGCTATATTCACACCTTGAAGGAATAGGTATTGAGCACTTACCAGACCAGGCACCATTCCCTAGAACTGTAGTGGTGAACAACATCCACAGGGGCCCTGTTGCAGTAGGGCTCACGTTTGAGAACAGGGGTTTCCCGACCTCCGCACTGTTGCCCTCTTGGGCTGGGTAGTTCTTTGTTGTGGTGAGCTCTCCTGTGCACTGTGAGATGTCTGGCGGCACCCCCGGCTTCCCCCACGCACTGTGGGATGTCTGGTGGCACCCCTGGCTTCCTCCACTCACTGTGGGATGTTTGGCGGCACCCCCGGCTTCCCCTACTAGGTACCAGTAGCAGCTCCGCACAGTTAGGGTGACCAGGTCTGTCAGTGTTTCCAGGTATTGTTCCTGGGGGTGAAATTCACCTCTGACAACCTCCCCCAACTGAGAACCATTATTTTAGAGAACGAAGTAAGGAATTTAGTGTATCTCTAGGGGACTGGGACTTGGACGGTTTGAGGAGGAAAAGATCGGAAGCAGGAGATAAGTTAGGTTGAGAATGTAACAGGAATAGAGTGGAAAAAATAATTTGGAAGTATGGTTCAGCTCTTCTCTTCTGAATCCTTGCCATCAGACATGTTCTAGAATGGGGGAATTGCAAATGCCTTTAGGTGCTAGTTAGGGATACGCAGACTCTTCAGTTGTCAGATTCTTCAGTTTTGTGAGACCTGGAAAACCTGGATTCTTTGTTTTGGAGAAACTGCTTTTGGCTGAGATCACCAAAAACCTCTTTATGACTAAATTCAGTGGTCCCATCTTCATCTCACTGTCCTTGATTTTTTCAGCAGCATTTGGCATGGGTGGCATCACCTTACTTCTTGAAATAGTCTCTCTTTTAGCTTCTGTTGACACTTCAAGCTCACAGTTTCCTTCCAACTTCCCAGCCTCCATTGCTGGTTAGTTCTCCTCTGTCTGATCCCTAAATGCTAGAGTCTGTCAGGGCCTGCACCTGGTCTTCCATTGGCTGGCCTACATTGTCTACCAAGGTACTTATACCTAGAGTTTTAAATATCTGCTCTATGCTAACACCTTCCTCCTTTATATCCTGGTTCAAACCACTTTTCTGACCACAGACCTAAGATCTAACTGCCTGCTGAACATCTTTATTTGGATATCTCACAGACATCTCAAGCTTCTTATGCATGAAATCCTGACATTCCCACTGCCTCTAAAATCTGATTCTCCTCCCATCTTTCACACCTCAATAAGTGATGCTTCTATCTCCCCACCTGTATATACCATAAACCTTTAAGTTATTCTTAACTTTCCCTAACCCCTCTCTTCTGTCACTATGTCTTGTTGATTTTACTTTCAAAATAAGTCTTAAATCTGACACTTTTTTATATTTCCATTTTAGTTCAAAGCATCTTCACTCCCCTCTTACCCTAATCCATTCTATACAGATGGCATTATTTGCAAATCAGACCCTACTTAAAACTTGTCAGTGGTGCTTGATGTGCTAACTGTTACATCTAAATCATTGATAAGGCTCCAGTGATCCAGTCCAGGCCTAACTCTCCAGCCTCATCTCACTTTATAAGCCCCCCACTCACACTGTGCATCAAACCCATCAGTCCTTTCGGGTCCTTAGAACGCGCCCTCTGTCTGGAGTGCTCTCCTCCCGTTTGCCTAACTCCTCACTTTGCAGGTCTTACATCTCAGTATTTTCCCTTGTGCCCTGTTCATGGGTCATATATTTGTATGTTTACCTCTTAACTGCTTACTACTCATCAGACCAAGCTCCCTGAGGCCAGAGAGAGCCTGGCACAGCAGGGGCACAATCAGTATTTATTAAACGGATGAAAACGGTTGGATGGAATTGGAACGTGAGATAAAAGTGGGCATGAACTGTTTCCTTTTTAGATATGAACACAATGAAACTCAGGTAAAATAATAAAGAATAATACAGAAAATGAGTGTCCAGGCCAGGAATACAGGTCTCTTAACTCTAGAGGTCATACAGGGTAAGCATGTCTCTAGCCAAGAAAGTAAAATAGTCCAAGTAGCTTTGTTAAAACTGCCTTTTCTCTTGGTATCTTCTAAGTCTCACCTGCCTCCTTCTCTGAGTAGCTGAGTCTTCCTGCTACTTTACAGAGGGAATTAAAACTATCATCTAGGAACTTCCAGAGCTCCTGGCTCCATACCTTCTGGCTTAATACCTGCATTTCCACCCCTCCTGTCTTCATTCTCTCCTGTTATAAATCCTGTTTCTATCTAAAGCTCTCCCTCTGCCACTGAATGTGACATCCACCACTCTCTTCTCCCCTTTTCAGATCCTTCTATCCATTATCTCCTTTCTCTACAGCTGCCTTACCTTTTCCTCCATACTTGTTCATTTAGGCACAGTAATGTTTCCCCTTCTTAAATAATAAAAAATTATCCCTTAACCTCACATCCCCGTAGAGCACATGTTCTCTTTCCGATCCTCTTCAGATCCAAGCTCCTTGGGCCAGTCTTTTCATCTTCATCTTTCACCTCTGGTGAATTCACGGCCTTACCATAAACAGCTTTCATCCCTCTGCTCCACCAAAAGCACTGTAGCCGTGACCACCAGTGACCAGCTTGTTGTCATGTTACTTTATCCTTCCAGTTCTTGACCGTTCCACAGCATCTGACCTTCTCTTCGCTCCTATAACACCATACTCCCTGGTGTCCCTTTTATTTGTTTGTGGTATATGTTTCATTGCTGTGTGGGCTTTTCTCCTGCTGTGGCGAGCAGGGACGGCTCTCCAGTTTCAGTAGGTGGGCCTCATTGTGGTGGCTTCTCTTGTTGCAGAGCATGGGCTCCAGGTGCAAGGGCCTCAGTCGTTGCGACCCACAGGCTTAATGGCTCCTTGGCACGTGGGATCTTCCCAAATCAGCGATTGAACCTGTGTCTCTTGCATAGCCAGGCGGATTCTTTACCCTTGAGCCACCAGGGAAACTCCCTGGTTTCCCATTCTTTCAGACCACTTCACTCTCTTATAAACCCTTCCAAAACGTTGGCTTTTCTTAGATTTCTACATTCTGCCCTTGTCTCACACCAGCAGTTCCCTGAGTAAAATCAGGCTTTGCTTTGCCATCTCTGCGGATGACTCTCAAGCCCTTGCTGCCAGCCCAGTGGGCCTTCCCGCTGTGTATGGAATCTTATGTCCATGCCTCTGGGAAAGGCACACCCATACATCCAGGTGCACACGTGGACCCTGGATGTCATCCCGCCTGGTCCCCTCAACTTTCAGTCCATTGACTGAGTCTTATCCCATCTCCTTCCTCACTAGGTCTAGTGTTTAATCTGCTTTTTATCACAGGTATGTTCCCTTGACTCCTTTTTAACATCTGTCTTTAGTCATGGTGATAGTTAATAGGGCCTTTTCGCAGACTTTCCACACGAGGGTCTCTGGTCATGTGGACTGTGATGGATTTACAGTGAGGCATGCAAGGCTGTTCCCTTTGCAGCCTGAAAATCACCTTGGTAAGCTGGACAATGTAGGTAGACATTTAAGGAGTATTGAGATTCTCCATTTCTTTACATGTGGTATTTTCTCTATGCTTATGTGGCTGTTGTTTAATAGGCTCGTGCCTTTAGGAAAACCATAATCTAGTTGATTTTTAGAATAGAATTGGAGTATGAACAGTGTGTGAAAATAGCCCACAATATTTTGACTTTTTAATTTTTTTATGATGATAAAATATTTGTATTAACTGTAGAAATCTTGAAATGTGGACTAATTTAAATTAAGAATTCTACTTCCTGCCTAATGGCAACCATTATTGACATTGGGATATATTTTCATCTTTTGTATACCATATATATGAAGCATATATGCACAAGATTCAGACTGTATTGTGTTTAGCTTTGTATTCTTTTTTTCTCTAAAGGTCATATCTTTTTTTTTTAAAGGTCATATCTTGAAAAATTTCCCTAGGTCATAAATTATTTTTTGAAAACCTGGGCTTTAGATGGTTGCACGAGAATCTCAATATAATTTCTTTCTTTCTTTTTAAATTGAAGTGTAGTTGATTTACAATGTTGTGTTAGTTTTATTCTCAGGACTAGTTGTGTGATGACCATCCTACTTCAAGGAATGTTTTGTTTAGGTAAGAGAAGAAAAAAATCCAGGTGAAGAACCTCCACCTGACTTAGAATAATAACACAGAGCAGATTTATACCAGGGGGGGAAAAAGGCTGATTTTGACTGCCAAGATTAATCTGTTTATTGTGCAAAAAGTTTCATTGTTCGCCTGTATGTTCCTGATCATTAGTTTCCTCACTGTGATATTCAAGCATTAGAAATAGGGAGAATTGACTTCTGTGTTTTCTCTTAGGTGGTTCGAGGACACTACAAAGGTCAGCAAATTGGCAAGGTAGTCCAGGTGTATAGAAAGAAATACGTCATCTACATTGAACGGGTGCAGCGTGAGAAGGCTAATGGCACAACTGTCCACGTGGGCATTCACCCAAGCAAGGTATGGCCTGGGGCCACACAGTGGTAGTGGCTGTGTACCCCAGCATCCCTGCTGGAGTTGCTGGGTATCAGCATTGCCCACACAGGCAGATGCGATAAGGACTTCAGAGGCAGGTCAGGCAGGCTTGGTTGGTTCACTGGCTAGGGGTAGCATCAAGGATCCAGATTCTTTTCTTGTGTGTTCTGTCATTCTTGGTGATGGCCCATCTGCAAGCTGGTAGCAAGAGTGTTGCAGGCAGGACTTCAGAGGGAGTATGCAGAGGGACTAGAGAGAACACCTCTTCCTTCAGCCCTCATTCCCAACTAGTGGAATTGACCGTTCCTCTCTTCAACTTCCAGCTTATACGCTGTAGAGTCTCTCCTCCAGAGTTTCAGATCCTTAAGGGCAGAATGGTTGGGTCTCACTCACCTGTGTGATCTCTATATTGCCTAGGAGCTGGTGAGAATGCAGTATTTTTAAAAACATTGCATTTTGCCAGCCAAGGGATGATAGACAAACCATCCATGTTGATAGTATAATCTTCTACAACCTGAATGATCTTTGTATCACTGAACTATGTAAATGGTCCCTAGACCCACAGGAGTTAGGGGTAGGAGGTTGGGTAGCAGAAGAAGGAACCCAAGCTGCTATCGTTGAGGGAACATCCACTGTGTGAGATAATTATGGTTTTAAGTACTTTCCCCTTAAAAAAGAAATCAAGATCTGTTTGTTTCCTCATCCTAACAGGTGGTCATCACTAGGCTAAAACTGGACAAAGATCGGAAGAAAATTCTTGAACGCAAAGCCAAATCTCGACAGGTTGGGAAAGAGAAAGGAAAATATAAGGAGGAACTTATTGAGAAAATGCAGGAATGAATATACCCTGTTGCACAACTGTGGTTTATCTGTAGGTTTTTTGCCTGGCGTGTAGGCCTTTAAAACTTTTCAAGATGTCTCTCTCTGGAGTATTTTATTTCCTTCCTGTTTTGTTATTATTATTTATATGGCTCTGTAAATCCACTTCTGTTTTGATTAATAATTTTATGAATAAAAATTGGAAATGTTTTCTTGTTCTGATTGGTATTTATTCCTTTATAGGTAAAATCCATCTTAATTCTCCATTCCCCAACTTTTAATCTACAGGGAGCAGCACAGCAGGAGCTGTGAGTTAAGACGGCCCTGCTCCAGCTTAGACCCTCATGCTGACAGGGTGGACAGGACAGGGCTCTGTTCCTGACGCAGAGGTCTGCCCTGCTCGACGGAAGTCAGGATCGGCCTGGTAGGCACCAGGCCCCACCGAGAGCAGCGCCGCTCAGCGCTCCCACTGTGGCCTGCCAGGCTGCCCTCTGGCCAGCTCCCTCTCCTCCATACCCTAACCAACCCAGGGACCTGGCACTCCTGCGCCTGGCTGCCCAGCCCAAGTCTTGATGTCACTGGTGCTATTTCCGTGTGACTGAAATGCCCTCTCCTGAAGATGATTCAGAAGACTGATGGCCTACAGGCAAGGCTTGACTTGGTTGACAGATTTTTTTTTTTTTGTCCTATTGTTTTCATAACTTTAAAAATTAATTTCCAACATATAAAATGTAATGAGAGCAGAGAAATCCAGACCTTTTGCTTCATCTGGCTGCATGAGGCCCTCAGCCTGCGCAGCATCGGTGTGTGGAGACGGGACTCTTTCTGTCCTCACTGGACTCCAATCTAACTTCTAGTCATTCCTTAAGATTAGCTTCAGAGCCACATCTAAAATCCTCCCTTGCCCCTGTGGTAAACAATCTATTGATTAATGCATCAAACAGCCTTTATGGCTCTCTACTAACACGGTTTATCTGACACTGATGTTTCTTAATACATGTTGACTGATTCCATTATTTTCCATTTTGACTGCTGCAGAAAATGAGTTTAGGTTAATTGCCCAAATCCCAGAGAGCGTAAGAGAGAGAGCTAGGATTTGAATCCAGGCCTCAGTGCATCAATGGACACTGACCTCCCACATCAGTCCCCTCTGGGGATTGACAGGAATATACTCCTGTCAACCCTTTATCAGAGTCTGATAAGAGCCTAGATGTACGGAACAGAAGAATTTATGTGTTTGTATCAATAGTGCTGTAGTGGGAACAGCACTGTTAGCAGCCATCAAGTGCCAATTGCAGCTCTGCCACTGGATGGTCAGAGGCCTTTGAGCAAGCTGCTCATCTCAGCTTCCATTTCCTCAGTAGAAGATGTCAATCACTCAGTTGTGTCCGACTCTGTGACCCCATGGACTGTAGCCCACCAGGTTCCTCTGTCCATGGAATTCTCCAGGCAAGAATACTGGAGTGGGTAGCCGTTCCCTTCTCCAGGGGACCCTCCCCATCCAGGGATCAAATCCAGGTCTCCTGCATTGCAGGCAGGTTCTTTACTGTCAGAGCCAAAAGAAGATAATACTTGTACTGCCTTTCTGTCTCACGGAAAATGCAGAAATAAAATGCCCGGATCAAATGGGCTATTTCTGAGCAGACTTTGAAAGTATGAGTGTATAAATTCTAATATTGCTATTATTATTCAGTATTTCCAATTCTAACATTCATCTTGCACTCAAAGAAGTAATGATTTTTCACAGAAGATCAATAAGATCACAAACCACAACTCAATATGCATGTTCTGACTGCAGCATTGATTTAAGAGTGAGCAAAATGATACCAGCTCTGGAGTCAGATGAATCAAGTCCTGTTCTGGTCTTTGGACAGCCCTGTTTATGAGCCTCTGTTTCCCTATTTTATATAAGAAGCTAGAAACACTGATCTTCAAGACTGAAAATTAAAGTGTCGGTCCATCAGGCCCCCCTGATTTTAGGAGTCAATATGGGTGCTTGCTAACAGTCTCTACCTCCTTGCCTGCAGATTCTGTGATGCAGTAGGTCTGAAGTGAGAGGCCTCTTTGGGTCTTGCATGCATATGTATTTTTCACATGGCCCTTGTATGATACTTACGACTAGGTAAATTTGGGAAATTGTGTATCAGGATATATACAAATCACAGCACATAAAATATAGTAGGTGCCCAAAACATGGTGACTATATTATCATACTGAGCCGTATGTCTAGCAGGCATAATGAATAGGTCAACCAGTAAGGACTGGAGTTTGTTTTTTTAATTTTTGTCTTCACTGTTAATAACACGTTTTAGGCCCCCAAATTTGAATAAAAGTCAGATTTCAAACTAGGTTAAATTTATAGTAAGATATCTTCTGATTCCTGGTCTGGGCCTTAGGCTCCAACCATTATGCTCACCATTACACTTAAATGATGATTATTTCCTAGGAGTCAGATTTGGTTTCTTTTCAGCAACATGTTCAAGTGATAGGTAAGAGTTTTGAGAATTGTAATCTCCCCCAAATCACACCAAACTTCTTATCATCAGTCATGTGAATAACAGTGCATGATCAAGAGCAGGAATTTGGCATCAACTGAGAGCTAATCCCAGCTCTGTCATCTCCTGGCTGTGTGACCCTGGGCAAATGCCCTAACCTCTCTGGGCCTGTATGGTCATCTATAAAATGGAGATGAACTGAGTACCTACCAAATAGAGTTGTCAAGGCTTACAACTTGGGATACTGTGAGTAGAGCATAGAGAACTCAGCAAGCGATAGCTATTGTCTTTCTGAGGACATTGTAGTGGGTTTGTCTGCAGGAGTAGAGGGAAAAGTTTTTCTCCAGGGAGTTTGGATAAATGCTGGTTCCCAACCAAAGCGGGAGGGTTTGAAGGCAGCAGTATTGTGCTTGGGCTGCTGCAGGAAATTGGGACGGTAGAATGCCTGCTGGATGGGCTCAGGCTGGGGAGGGGGGTTTAGCATGTTTCCTGGAATGAGTTTAAATTAAGTAGTTTCCTACCGACCTTTTCATCAAATTTGTAGATGTCAACTTACGTTGAGTGAGTCCCCCTGTTATTTTGGAAAGACTCCAAACTTTCACACTTCAGATAACTCCTTCTGAATGTCTGCTTTCATAGTACACTGGGGTCTGAGATGTTCAGCTACAGGGCTTTCCACGTGAGTTGGGAAGCAAGGAAGTAATCAGATCTGGGAACCAGGCAGAACTTTATTAACCAAGAGTCCTCTGTACTCTGCTGATGCTATAGACTACAGAGTTGAGCAGTCCCAATCTGGTAATGGCCTGGGTCTTTGTTCATTGTTCTTTGTTCATTGTTCTCTGTTCAGTCTCCTGAACAGAGGAGACTGGCGGGCTATAGTCCATAGGCTCGCAAAGAGTCAGACACAACTGAAGCGACTTATCACACACACATGCGTATATAGTAAAACATAAAAAGGTACAAAAGGTACACAGTGAAAAGTAAGTTTCCTTGTCACGTTAACTCTTAGTCATTCAGTTTTCCCCAGAAGCAGTCAATGTTTCCAGTCTTTTGTATCCTTCTAGAAATATTCTATACATACATGATTGGGTTTTTACTAAAGTCTGGTGCATGAATAAGTCTTCATGAGAATGGCAGGTCATCCAAATTTAAATAGCTATATGAGGTTGATTTATTTCCTGAACACCATAATTACAATACAAATACACATCAATATAAGTAAAATATTATTTGTCCATCAGAAATAACTAAATCAACCACATCCTAGCCTATCCCTAATATGAGGGCAGCTAATTCTACAACAGGTTTTCAAATGTCTCATCTTATGCATTAGATGTCTCTCTCTTTTAAAGTAGTGTATAATTTAAGGGTTTTGTGTGTGTGTGTGATTTACTATTTGAGATAGAAAAGGGAGTATGGTTTACTAGAAGAGCAGGAGCTACAAAGACCTACATACAGATCCCAGTTTTCTCTCTTAGAACAGCTAGACTTTGAGCAAGTCACAAATCTGAGCCTCCCTTTCTTAATATGTAAACTGACTTTAATAACATCTATTTAGGTGTTGTGAGCACTCAGTGAGGCAGGTAATTCAAAGCACCTTGTTTCATTACTGACGAGTGGCCATCAAAAAATGGTAGCTGCCGTAGTCAGTGGCGTCAGCCCTCAGTGCATATTCTCTACATGTGAGCGGAGTAAACTATGCTAGGGTTTCGCTTCTCCACTAACTTCCAGCCTTCTCAATCAGCTTGGAAAGGAGCTTTACGATGTGGCTTCCTAACCCGTGTTCCTGTTTAGGAGCTCCGTGGGGTGTGCACGGTAACGTTTCAGCCCACTCTTGTTTACTCTGTCCTATTGAAGTTGCCTGAGACTCTTCCTCTAATTTAAAAATTACTGAGCAACGTCCCTGGTGGTCCAGTGGTTGAGAATCCCTGCCAACGCAGAGGACACGGGTTCGATCCGTGGTCCAGGAAGATTCCACAAGCTGCGAAGCAACTAGGCCCACACGCCCTGAAGCCCAGGCTCCACTGCAGAGAAGCCACTGCAATGAGAAGCCCGCACACCGCCACCGGAGGGCGGCTCCAGCTTACTTCAACTAGAGAAAGCCCGCTCGCAACAACAAAGACCCAGCTCAGCCAAAAAGAAAATAAATAAAAGTTACCGAGGACCCAAAGACCTTTTTTATGTGGATTACATCTATCAAAGTAATTTACCATATTAGACATTAACATTGTAAGATTTATCTTAATCCATTTAAAAAATAATAATAAATCAAAAACATGTTAATGTTTTTATGGAAAATAACTACCTTTCCCAAAACAAAACCAAAAAAAGTAGCCAAAAGAGTGACATTATGCACAGTTCCTTTATGTCTGGCTTAGTAGAAAACAAATGGATTCTTATAATGCTTCTGCAATCGACCCATTGCTGTGATGTTCTGGGTGAAGCAAAGGAAGAAAATTCAGTGTCAAATTCAGTGTCACATAGATTGGTAGTTAGAAAAGAGAGGACCTGGCCGACCCACTGGGA